TTTTTTTTTTTTTGGTACTGGGGATTGAACTCGGGTCCTTGCGCTTGCAAGGCAGGCCACCAAACCGCTGAGCTAAATCCCCCGCCCATCTTCCTATCTTTATGATGTGACTGTTTTTTTGGGTCATGATCCTTGTTTAAATTAACATAAAAGCTATTAAATCACTTACGTGGCTTGGAAAAAACACTTACAGGAACATTTCCAAAGCACAAGAGCAGTAAATGCATTTGGCATGGTTATTGAAACAGAACAAAAAGAACTGAGAAAGAAATCTGTATAAGAAAGTTTACATTTTCTGCCAAATGAACTTTTATAAATGCTGCATTTACATAGCTTCCAGATAAATTAAGTGTTCCAAAAGGGAGGGAAAATTCCTTACTTAAAAGGTGTATGAGAAAAAGCAGGCATGTGGAGAGGGGCACATTTCAGCTGGATGCATTACTACACACCTGTAATCCCAGCACTTGAGCCCAGTCTGAGCAACTTAGCAAGACGCTGTCTCAAAAAATAAAAAGAGGCCAGGGATTCAGCTCAGCAGTTCAGCGGCCTGCCTTGCAAGCACAAGGACCAGAGTTCGATCCCCAGTACCAATAAATAAATAAATAAATAAGAAAGAGTTGGGGATGTAGCTCAGTGCTAAAGCCCTGGGTTCATTCCTCAGCACTGAAAAAGGGTGGGGGACCATGTTTCATGAAGTTCTCTTTTCCCTGTCTTTTCTTTTTTTTGGTACTGGGGATCAAACTCAGAGCCTTGCCCTTGTGAGGCAGGCAGTAGAACGACTGAGCTAAATCCGTGGCCCTCTAGTCTTTTTTTAAATGAGGAAAAGGACATAAATTTCCCTTGTTCTAGCACTACACTAGTGCTTTTGCATGTCTCATATAATGCTATTGGATAGGAAAGAGTTTTTGAAAGGCAGAAGGAATCCATAATGTTGACTCCCAAGACTAATTCCCAATTGCCCTTATTAGCAGACTCCAGAAGGTAAGACTCTTCCATGCCCTTGATCCAAAGCCCTGATCTTGGAAAGTAAGATTCTTTAATGCCCCTCTTTTAAACAGAGGCCACCTAAAGAGGTTTACCTGGACAAGGAAGAGACCCCAAAACCAGGGCATCGAAAGATGAGTTTATACTTTCCCTGAAAAAGAGAAGATTAATGAGGCTTAGGAGTCACTTCCTGGCTGGTTCTTGGTTCTGGAGTTTGAGAGCCAACATCCCCAACTCTAGTCCCTCCTCTTCCTGGGCCTGCCTGCTCTCCCCTAATCCTGTGTCTAAAGCCCAGGCTTCAAGATCTTCTGTGTCCAGGGATATCAGGGCCTGTGTGGGACCCATGCAGGGCTGCTACTGAATTCAGAGCGACAGTTTTTTCTGCTTTCAGTCGGTGCGAGAATTCCTCTGGCTTGGCTAAGCCAACACACAGAAAACAGACATTGGCAGCCACCCAGCTCCAGCCAAGCCCTGGAGATTGGACAAGGAGAGGAGTTCTTGTGCTGCTAAGAAGGGAAAGGCAGGAGGGAGTGGGCAAGATGGCAGGAGGCCGAGCATCCCTGAAGAGGTCAGGGATGGCTAAGGTTGCGGCATAGAAGATGAAGTGAGATGGCCTTTTCCCAGGCACCCCCGTTCTTCAGTTCTATTAGACCTACGAGTATTTGCTGGGAGTGGCTTTTGTGCTGGACCCTGAAGAAGCGTCAGAACTTCAAGTAGGAGATGAGGTGATACCAGCTGCACGGAACATGGCCCTGCGGTCTGAGAGGGACCGAAGAGCGCAGAGTGCCCTGGCCGCAGAGTCCAGAGGGCTCTAGAGCCCCAGAACTAGAAGGAGGCAAGCAGATGTTCCCTGATCTTGGGAAGCAGGGGGACCTCCAGCCAACCACTCAACCCTGAAACTGAGAAGAAAAATGGATAGTGTGGTTTGGCTCTATAAATACAACATTAATCACAGCTTCCCATTAATGCTTGATTGCTTGCCATGTAGTATAATAACAGTTATGCATCGCATAAGCTACATATCAAATGAGCTGAGCTTGTGTGCACCGTGGGGCCTGGCCTCCTGAGACCTTGCTTGGCAGCCTGGCCATCTGCCCATGGGGACAATGGCTACACTCAACAACTTAAAAAGAGGCAAGGGTTCCTACTCAATGCATGGCTGATTCCCTCCTTCGAGAGGGAAAAGACCCTGACATTTGTTAGTTCAAATATCAGTATACTGGCTACTCCTTGGGGCTTGGCCAAAAAAGAACGTGAATTCTAACTCTTTATTCCCTCTCCCCCCCTTTTTTTTTAAATTTAGGAGGCCAATAAAGCATCCTCACCAAAGCAAACACCCCTACACACTCCTAAAACAGAACTTGCAAAACCATTCCAGCTAAGGTTAATAACTCCTCCCAAGCCCAAGCTTTAGAGGAGAGAATAAAACAGGAAAATGGTTCCTCGGGGTGCAGTTAATAAAGACAGTGGATGAAAAGGCTCTTCAGTGGCTCCCTTTGAAGAGGCTGAGAGGGGATGAGTCCTACTCACACGCAAAGGGACTTTTTCCACTGATCCGCCACACTCTGCCTGATAACTGACAACATGCCAGGCTCTGGCCAAGGCCCAGTGATGGCTGAGTGGGGGTGGGGTCAACACAAAACCTTGCCTCTGTGCTCAGGGAGATGGTGAGTGGGTTAAGTGAGGAACCCCAGACGAGCAAAATGAGCCCTGGTAAAAAAAAAAAAGAGAGCGCAGTGCATTTGCCAAAGCAACCTTACTTCTGCAGGTCTTCTGATCCACGTTGAGAATGTACCCTTGTTTGCATCTGCAGACGTATGAGCCAGGCGTGTTGATGCAGAAGTGGGCACAGTTGTGCTCCAGGACGCTGCACATGTGGACGGCTGAAAGGGAAGACACAGGAAGTTAAAGGCGCCACGATGCCTTCCTGAACCTCATTCCCGCCAGCAAGCATTTATTCAAAGCCTACAGTGCAAACAAGCTGGGTTACAATCAAGGCGGGTTACAATCTCAAGTAGACAAGAAAGGGCCAGATAAATGGAGTCAGCAACATACACAGGGTCATGTAGCATAGGGTCAAAGGGAGAAGATGGTGCTGGGCACACGGGCACACACCTGTCATCCCAGCACTGAGAAGACTGAGGCAGGGGGATCTATGCAAGTTTGAGGCCAGCCTGGACTACGTACATACGGTAGTGAGACCCTGTCTCACGGGAGGGAGGTTGTTACGCTGAATTACTATATGTGTAACTGCTGATATCTGATTTTTTTTAACCTAAACAAACATAAATTTCCAATTCAATTTAATTACAACATTCGGAGGCAGGAAGATCAGAAGTTGCTTTGGTTAATATGTAGATGTTCAGTAGGCAGCAGTGGGGTGGGAGGAAACGCTATCAATTAAATGAGGATGTGTTGAAGAACCACCAGTTTCCAGGATCATAAATTCTAAGAATAACTGAATTTTTTGAACATGCAAAAGTATTTAAAACAAAGTTACAAAAATGTTTTGGAGTAACAACACATTCACATGTTTCACTTTGTCAGACTTTTTATGGCTCATTTAAAATATTTCTGCATTTCGTTTCCGAAGTACAGTACTTTAGCTTTCAGATGCACAGATGGTTGCATAAGTCTGTCTGGAGCCCACAGGAGTCTCTTGTTTTCACATTTTAATTTACGACTTCCCTCAACATAATGCGAGTTGAGAACATTTCAAATTAACAAGCATCAGTGCAGCACACGGAACAAGTTATGTAAGAGTTCTCATAAACAGAAAAGATACCTGCATGCAGAAAATGATTGTATGAAGCTAAAATAAAAGGAGCGCTCAAAAGCTAAGGACAATCGCATTCATTTAGCACTTAGAAAATCTCAGCTGCGGATGAAATGTATCCAAATATGTGGCTTTACATCTAAGTAAGAAATATGGTGGGCAGTAAATGAGGTAGTACATAGTACTACCTGCATAGTAGTACAACTTAGAAAGTACTGTTCTGAGTGTATGGCTGTGTTTTAGCTCCTATTAGTATACAAACAACATTAGGAAAGTGGGCCGATTGAATCCAATCATCAATTTTACTACAGAGTGAAATATACATCTTGTTTGTAACCCTGAGCAAAAATAGCTCTATATAAAACTCTATATAAAATGGGAATACAGGGCTGGGGATTTAGCTGAGTGGTTCTGCTGCCTGCCTCACAAACACAAGGACCCGAGATCAATCCCCAGTATCAAAAAAAACAAATAAATAAATAAAATAAAATGGGGATACAAATAGCACCAACCTCATGAGGGCCTGGTGAAAGTTAAAGTAGTCAAGGTGGTAAAACAGAACGGTGCCCAGGGGTCTCCAGGGAAGGCTGGGTATCTACCTCTTAGCCATTTTATAGCAAAGGAAAAGTATCCTGGTGTTGTGTTTTACTTGATGTGTTTAGGTGCCTCCCATGATACTGATCTTGTGCTTGGATTTTTACTGCACATTAATCAGATTTGATCTCTACTGATCCCTATACTGTATTTCATGGGCTCTAAAACCCACTCCAATGTGAGAGCTGTCAAATCACGATGACACTTAGAGCTGGTCCTTGCTATTCACAGATTCAGTATTTGCAAATTCGCCTACTAAAATTTCTTTGTAACCTCAATCAGTACTGATAGCAGTCACAGGCCTTCGTGAACATGCTCAGAGAGGTGAGAAATTTGTCATCTGGTGTTCACGTTTGACTTCTCAGCTCAGAAGGCAAACACCCTGTTTTCTTGATTAAACTTTCACATCCCATACTGGAAACAAATGTCCTTTTAGCGTCATGTTTTTTGCATTTTGGGGCTTTTATAGGTGATTTTGCTATTTGAAATGGTGAAGTGCTGTCTGGTGTTCCTAGGTGTAAAAAGGCAATGATGTGCCTTTTGGAGAAAATATGTGTTAAAATAAGCTTCATTCTAGCAAGTTACATCTTTGTTAGCCATGAGCTCAATATTAATGAATATATTATATTAATGTATATTAATTATGTGTATACTAATAATATGTGTATATATATTAATTATGTGATGATGTATACATTATATTAATGTATATTAATGTATAATGTGTATTATATATTGTATAATATTATATACATTGATATTAATGAATAATTTATACTGAATTGTCTTTTGATTGATACGCATATAAAGCAAAGTGACAGGCTGATCAGTTGACAAAAACATCACAGGACTAGTTCACAGGAACCTAAGCCTGCTTTCACCTAGGACCAGTGGTTCAGGATTCCCTATTTCAGTGTTTGCAGTGACGCTATAGAAGAAAATCACCTCCAGTAATAAGAATGAGCTGTTCTTAGATTGGAATGTTGCTGGTAGATCTAGTCTACCTCTTTGGATAGCTTTATTCACTGGTCATGTGGCCATTCCTATTTTATTTAGCCCTTTCCCTGATGGTCAACACTTGGATGGTTTTCAGCATTTCACTCTCACAGAGGCATTCTCACAAGACAGCATTCCCAGGCACATCTCCCAGAGAGCACACTTCAACAGCTGTGGCCTCAGTGCCTGCCAGCGTGGCTCACACCAGCAAGGTAAGAAGGGGTGTCCCTAGCCCCTCCACATGACCACACTGTAAGTTTCCAGATTTATATCCCAAAGCCTCACGAGCTCAAGGTGGAGCTGTTGGAAGGTGACTGGGTCATGGGGGATTCCAGCTGACTTGCTATGAGAAGGCAGGGTCTAGGGGGAGGAGGAGGGTTACTGGGGGGCAGAAGGAGTTCATCTCCTTCTCCACCTCCTCCCTGGACTTCTCTCTGCTTTCTTGCCAGGCAGTGAGCAGCTCTCCTCCTCCACCAGGCCTCTCCGCCTCACCGCCCTGCCTTGGAGCCAGTGGAATATAAACTGAAACCTCTGTAAACTGCGAGCCAAGATAAGCTTCACCTCCCTTCATTTGCAGGTGTGGGGTACTGTGACAGCCATGAAGCTTGGAAGGCTGCTGAGGTCGCACCCCAGGACCCCAGAAGTATGGCGTCCAGGCAGCCAGCTCCACCGCAGTTACCTGCCTTGCAGGCTGGGGATGAGCCTGGTACCCTCTCCTTGTGGTCTGAGAAGTTAGACAGGAGATGTGAGGCTGACAAAGCGCAGGTGGCCAGCGGTAGCATAGTGGGGAGGAAGACAGCTTCTGCAAATGCAGCGTCTGCAAGCTCAGCTACTGTGATGTTCTGGAGACACTCTGTTTCTCCAAACTCCGCTTTCTTTACCAGTCAGACGGAGACAGAAGAACTACTGCATGGGTTTGGGAGAGGCAGCTTGTTGCTAAGGTTTATGCTGGCCATGATCCATTTAAGAAGAAAATTAGAATCAGGAGGCTGTGACTTGGTGCAATGGAAGAGCACAGGGTTAGGAGCCAGAAGCCCATGTGCCCATCCCTCTGGTCCCCTGCCTCGTGGGGCAGCTGAGTGGAGCAGCCCTTCGGGTCCAGTCCTGTTCCTCTGCCTGCATAATAAAAGCATGAAAGGTCTCCAGGGACCCTTGGCACAGACCCCTGATGTTTATTCAATGTAGCACCCTGTTATCTAGAAACTACCCTTCTTTCTCATTACATTGCCTGGCAATTGTGGGAACTGCCTGCCAGGCGTGGCAGTGCAGCACCTGTAATCCCAACACTCTGGAGGCTGAGGCAGGCGGATCGCTGAGAATTCAAGGCCAGCCTGAGATACGTAAGGATTTCAGGGCCAGGCTGCACAACAGTGAGACCCTGCCTCAAAAACCAAAACAAACAGGGCTGGGGATTTAGCTCAGTGGTTCAGTGGCCTGCCTTGCAAGCACAAGGACCCAAGTTCAATCCCTGGTACCAAAAAAAACAAACAAACAAACAAAAAAATTGTAGGAACTGCCTAGTGGTCAGAGGTAGTCCAGGCCTGGCCACGATTGGTCAGTACAGTGTCTGATGCTAGGGTGGTGTTTAGGAACTAGCACTTAGCAAAAGCAGGGCTCAAACTGAGAGCAGGTAAACCTGGGGTCCCCAGGGGCAAGAATCCTGCCCTATGGACCAGAAAAAAAGGGGAGCAGATGAAAGCAGTCCACTCAGTACTCCTATTCATATTTCCATGGATGATATAATATAGTCCCCTCTTTTTCATAGTTAGAATTGAATTCCTCATTCTTTCAACCAGATGAGTTCCAATATTTTTACTAAACAGAATAAAGTCTTTCCATGTGGCAATGAGTGCTGAGTACCTGAAAGAGCATCTGGGCCTCCTGCCTTGCTCCTCCAGGGCTGGCCTTTGCAGTGTGACCAAAGGGGACATGACATCCTGCCTCCTCCCCAGCCTGCTGGGCCTGGCCCCAGTGACCCCATTTCCCAGGTCTTCCGGGTTTGAATTCAGCCAAGGCTTGTGTTCAGAGGGTGGAATAACTATCAGTAGTCTAAGTCAATGAAGGGATTAGAGTTTTTTAAATCAGGAAATATGAAGACAAAATTTTTTTTAACAAATGCACGAATGACTCAGAATGCTCAACAAGGTGGGGGTGGTCTAGGGAGCCTGAAAGGAACAATTACTGGGTATATGAAGCCACCTCTGTGCGGCCAATCTGGTCTCCCCACTTCACAACAGGGCCTCAAAGGGGAGCAGCGAGTGTCGACTCTGCCCCGTTGATCAGGGTGTGCCTTCGGAACACCATTAGGGCCTTGAATTGTGCCCAGCCTGGGTGAGGCAGGGCTATTAGGGTAAGAACACTCTGGCTCCAGTTCCAAAATGCCAGACAAGCTGATGAAGCTGGCAGCAAGCACTTGATTAAGGGCAGCCCGTCCAGGTTATGAGTCACCTGAATGCCTAGGACAGGCAGGCAGTTTTCAGCCCTGAGAAACAGTTCTCTCACTGGGTAGAGAAACAG